TTTTACCGGGCAGTTGGCCTAGAAAACATACACCTGGCCGCTAGGATCAATTTTCAAAGTAGAAAGAAAAGTTTATAAGAACTTGATGAAAAATTTAATAATGATCTTTTCGACCGGTTCTTACATTATCCTAAAGTTAAAAAACGAAAGTTCTACCCTCTGGAAACTTCTCAATTCTACCCTTTTCGAAATGTAGTACTTCTAAATCGATCAAATATAACATTTGAACTTTTTTCTATAGATTCCAGTCAATTTCAAGCAATATTTGAGAAGCTAAGGGTTGTTAAGGTCCTAGCAATTACGACTCTTCGGAGATTTTTTGAGCCCAAAGACGAAATTGGGATGTCAAATATTGTGAGAACGCTATTTTCATCGTTTTTGAATAACTGGGGCTTTTTTTGGAACTTTTCAAAAAAATTCAAATAATCACTTTTGAAGTGTGGGACCCCATGGAGATATTTTTCAAAAATTTTCAAAATAAATTTTTTTTTGAAATTGTTCAAAAACTATTCTAGATGATAGAGAAATGTTCAAAAATGAGGTTCGCATTCGAGAACATAATGAAAAACAAGTTTTAAAGTTCGGAAAATGAACATTTTTGGTCAAAATTTAGCACTGAAAACACTTTGAGAGCCCATATTTCGATTCCTATTGGATCCGGGGATGAGATATTGCTGAAGCCGTTTTCAGCATGTTCGAAAGTACCTTTTCACAAATTTTGAGCAAATTCTCAACCCCCGTCTGAAAACACTTCCCTTGTGAGAAAACACTGAAAATCGATAAAAATTCGAAATTCGCGCGCTTTTACCGGAAGTTGGCTTAGAAAACTCACACCTGGCCGCTAGGCCACCGGTTCCCACTTTGACTTTTGGATGCCGTTTTTCTCAATGACGGAATTTTTTTTGAATTTTTTCGTTATTTTTATGGGGATCTACATGGAATTCTGCAAAAAATAAAGAAATAAAATTTTTCACCTCACACCACCTTGAAATTTTGAAAATCGATTTTTCCGAAATCCCGAAAGATCCCAAAAAGGCCATTCCGAACATCCCTAGAACCATTTCTTTTAAATTCATTTTCTTGCTAATTCAAGGTTTTCAGATGAGTTGTGATGAATGGAACACGTTCATCCAGGTGAACATTTATGGGCAAACTCTACAAGCTTTGAAGCAACGAGGAGTGGTCCTGGAGACAGTTTTAAACGATTTGGGTTGCTCTAAACTGTGGATCACTGAAGGAAAACTGTACAATGAGCATGCAACTACAATCGATTCAGAAGACACATCCACTATCGTTGTTCCAGTCTTCAGCACGACGACCGTCGAGGAGAAGTGTCCCCGGTTCTCGACTCCGGCGGTTTCACAGAACGAATTGCAACGAAAATTCACATTGAACTTGCCGATAAAGTTGTCGGAAATAAATTCTAGTTTTGAGGAGGACGGGTTTTCAATGGAAATGGATGATAGAGAAGAAAACGATGGCGTCATTGTAGAATTGCTCAAGGAACTCGTTGAAAAAGCTTCTGAAGAGTTTGAAGAAATTCCAGTTGCCCCTGAATTCAATCCTAGCAACGATTACACAGAAAGACCCCTTCTAAGTACCACTATCGTCAAAAGAGGACCTCGATATTCGACTCCAATCGCTTCGGAAGTGGATCTCAGCGAGGTTTTCGCTCTCGACATGCCCGAAATTTTCTCGGATATTGAATCTAATGATGATGATGGGATAGAGTCAGAAGTTCAGTTTCAAAGGAAAACACTTCGATCGATATCTACAGTACCCTCTGTCAAACGAAGACAATCCAGACGTTTGAGTGCTCCAGATTTGAAAGGAGTGGACCGGAAAAATGGGGAGAAACCAAGGCTACAAAGACTATGGTAAGAGTTTTATTGATTTTTATTAAATTTTCAAAAGTTCGATTTTCAGCTTAACAAGAAGCACAACCGAGAGAGAATGTTCACAATTGAAGATTCCGAAATTCTGTTCGATGAATCCAGAGATCTACAGAACGGAGACAAATGCTGCCCAGTTATTGGCAAGAATCGATTCTATTCATAATGGAAGCCAAGTGAAAGGAGATGCAGCTGTAAGAACTTTTGAAGTGAGTTTAATCTAATATTCGGGTGCAAAAGGTCCCACAACGACAACTGCCGTAACCTGAAAATCAAGAGACTTTTTGATCGATTTCTGGGAAATCTCATTATCTTGAGACACTAAAAGTAGAAATTTAAGTGGAAATTTTCGAATAAAGTTCGCGAATTTTCGAAAGAAAGCATTGATTTTTACCTCGATTTTTCGCAAAAATTTTAGACCCTTTCAGGTTTTTTCAGCTATCTTTTGAAGACGGATTTTCAGAAAATACATTCATTAGAGAAAAAGAAATTAACAAAAAAACAAGAAAATTTAAACTGAAGGGGAATCTCGATCTCGAAACATCTGTGAACCTCAGATCGTAGCGCATCCCCGTTGTTATCAGCCCAATATCATATCCTCCTGGAAATGGCTCCCGGACATTTCGTAGCCGGACATTTCGCAGCCTCTGATAACGTCAGAAAATCAGAATTCCAAGTTCTTCGGTTTTTTAAAAAAGTATATTTTAATGCCAGAAATTGAATTTTCGAAGAATTCGGCTGAAAAAATAGCAAGCAAGTATTCAATCAATGAAAAACTGCTGAATCTTCATTGTTATTCAGAATTTCTTTTTAAAATATAAGATTTTAGAAAGTTGGAATTCTAGAAGAAA